GCTAGTTTGGTCTTTTATTTTCTTCTTGAGCCATGCAGGCTTGCATTTTCAAGGTTAACTTTCTTGTAAAGTTAGAAAACTTTACAAGGAAACTAGAAAAGTTTATTTGTGGTGAAAGTTAATATTTTCACCTAAGACAGCAGCTTAAATTGTAGGTAAATCATATACTGTGAGACTTCCTTAAAAAACAAACAAAACAGCCCACAAGTATTGACTACTGGCCACCCTCTAGATTTATTCAGTGTGTCCTGCTCCTGTTTATTATATAATTTGTTGAAAATTTTCCAACCATTTTCCCTTGTCAGCTTTCATTGAATTCTAATTCAGAATATATTTCACCTCCACATTATCTGAGTTTTGTTATCATTATGGCTTCTCCTTCACTTAAAAATGTAACAAACAGAAAGGAATGGTCTGCTACTCAGAAAGAGTCAGGACAGAGGTGGAGCTTTCACTACAGATAGATCTCACAGAAGAAATAGGCCAGATAGTATGAGGATTTCATCAGCCTCCAAAAGCACAGAAAGATGGAAAGCACCAAACTTGCTGTTCTCATAAGACTTAACAGAAATATAACAAAAGATTGAGAACAAAATGCACAATGGGCTTCCAAAGGTTGATGGTTTATTCCTAGGGAACTTGTAGGACTTAAAATATTTCCAATCTACAAGGCTCAAAAATTGAGGTGGCTTCTATCACTTCAGCAGAACTTGCACAGACGCCAGTGCTTGTGACCTCTGAGGCTGAGGAGCTAGTTGGTTTCTACTTCTATTTTTCATAGTAATATTGGCAAAGGCCTGAAAGAAGTCTGACTTCCACAAAGAGGGATGTACCCACTGTTTGGGGCTGAACACAAGCATTCTGCTGTGTTTCGAGGCCTGTGCGTTTGGGTGAGTTGATCGAAGAGCTGCAAACCAAGCTTTTCATTTGCCTGCTCGTTTTATCTGTTATATATGAAGTTATAAATCAAAGGACAGACTGGAGATAAATGCTTTCATTGCTTTCCTGAAAAAAAGATGATTTGGACTGTCATACTTTAAAAGCTAAAAACACCATGCATTTCTTAAAGGACCAGGGCTTAAGTTAATTAAGAAAACAATATTCAGTCCCAGTCTCAAAATATTACCTTAGACAACATCACAAATCAGAAAAACATGCAAAATTTCAGCTCCTACCAGACTCTGGAATAGCATAAATTGTTCTCTTAACACTGAAAAGAATCAGCAGTGAAACTTAAATTTAGCTGTTGACCAAAGTCAGCAGAAGAGTGAAAAGTCACCAATATGCTTACGAGTTTAACGTGCACAAGAGAAAGTAGATACCTTTAACAGAATACACATTTTAAGTATTTTTAAGAAGTTGCATCTTCCATTCACGCCACCCTGAAAACACCCTCTATTTTCTTGCCAGAATAGCCGATGCATCTTGCATTTCTACTCACAATATAGGCACTGAAATATATGATTAATTGGAAAGGGGGAGGAGGATTCGATGGTTGTCTACAATTCTGCAAAAATGAGTATTTTTTCTTTCTTTTTGAAAGGAAGTTTGGTTAGAATTTGGAAATAGTTAGGAAATAACCCATATGCAAGGAAAAAAAATATATAAAAAATTTACTCATCATGCTAGTCACCAGTCTGTGTGAGCAACATAAAATGGTTGTCAAAAACATTCCTCACATGAACATTCATTTACACACCAAATTCTTGTCCCCTTGAGCTGCCAGTGAACCTTCTTTTTTAACTCCACTTCGGCTTTTTATCCACATTGTCTTACGAAGGCCACATAGAGGAAACATATAAATATATTTTTCAGACAGCTTTCTGCATTTTGTATATCCTTTCCCTCTAGTGCACATAAAAAACCAAAAGGAATGCAATCATTAATTTGTTACTTCACTGATTAGGAATTCTGCTTGGAAGGGTTAAGATAGAAAGCACTTACTCTGTAACAAGCATTACAGAATTGAACATAGCACTGCAAGGGCTCAACAAATGTCCCTTTACAAAGGAAGGCTACATTGCCTACATTTTGTTCCATTCTGCCAGTTCATAGGGTTTCTTCCATGAATTATTAATGAATCATTGTGAACAGGCAGGAGAAATAAAAGAAATAAAACATGTAAAAATTAAGCCTTTAAATTTTTTCCCCCTTGGTGTAACAAGAATACAGCTCAGAGAACTTAAGGCAGCGCATAAGGACACGGGGACAGTATTGAAAGAAGTCTGAATTTACTTGTTTGGATTCCTCAGACAAGCTTGTAAACAACTCCTGTTTTACAAATCCTGTCATTTGCAGAGCAGCTAAATCATCTGATGAAAGGGAAGAAAAGAATTAATGCCAAGACCTATTACCTGTCCCTGAATTAAAAAAAAAGGCTCATGGCATCATGGCAACCCAAGGGGCGGAAGACACAGATATGCAGAGCAGAAAAACAGTGTGGAAATGAATTGTACAAGTAACATCTGGTAAAGACAGACATGCTGTAGTTTCCACAGAGTTAGCTAAAAATAGGGCACTGTCCAGTTCCATTTGGCAGACAGTTCTTAGAAAAGTGACTCTGTAAAGTAGTGTTGAACACTGGAGGGCTGATCTTAAACTCTTGCACATACATTTATGCACACATGTGTGGCATGTGTTTGTATAAATCAAAGCATCATCTCGTCAGCCGTAAAAAAAAAACAGGGGCGGCAACTCCACAGTATTGCTCACAGGACTGTTTTACTGCCATCAAAGCCTGTCACACTTCAGAACAAAAGCTGTGTAAACTGTATGAAGGTTTTTGCCATTTTAGTCGTGATATCCAGGTACAAGTCTTTTAATATTCTTGTCTCAACAAACATGATTTACAAAGTCATCTGCTCATAATTAAAATTATTACTTTTCATGGACTTCTCAACAGAGGGATTATAGGAGGTGTTCATCTAGATTTACAGATGTACACTTTTGTGCCTTTGAAGAGGGGAAATAAAGTAAATCAAACCTGTATACATATATGTGTGTATTTAAAACTGTGAGATGCCTTCCCTCTATTTGCTCAAAGGACAAATCTGAGCATTCTGAAATCTGTGGTAAGATGCCAATAAATTCAAAGTTTGCATCAGAATTCATTGCCCATCTCTAGAATTACTTTAAAACATTTTTTTTCCTCATGCCTGACATATTTGCTTCAGAACTCAAAGATCAAAAAGAAAGGCTTTGCGAGCTCCTCAGTGCTAATCTTGGTGGCATCTTTTAACTGTCCTTTTAAAGAATCAGCACAAACTTTCCCTAGTGAAGTGGAATTAACTCCCTGTGAGGAGGTATGCAGCTTACCAAATCTGTACTGAATCTGAGCTTGTTTCATGAAAAAAAATAAAAGTTAATTTCCCTAGAAGTCTGTCTAGAAGTGAACTCTAAGAAAGCTTGAAAACACTCCAGGCAACAGAAAATCCTTCTTTCTGCTCACAGCTCTGAGCTGAAAAACCCAACTGTTTGGTCTCATTGTCAGACTAAATTCATGACAGATCTTACATTTTTGTTTCTGTCTATTCTGTATCCACAATGTGGCAACAATTCCACAAGTTTTGATTTATTTTTTTTTATTTTACCTACACTCTTTGGCTAAATGCTGCTATACTTCAGATTATTAGAGGTATCCAATCAGAAATACTTCCCCTCAAATCCACAGACAGCCACCTACAAATGGGTGACAACAGTATCCGGTTCAAAATTTGAACCATGTATTCTCTGCAAGTGTGAATACCCCAAGAGCTTTCCACCAGAGACCTCTGCAAGCTGCATTACATATTTTTCAAAGCTTTCTGCTGAAAATGCACTAATAGGAGCCTGAACTACAGACATTGTGTGACAGGTTAAAAAGGAGGAAATGTAAAAAAATGGGTTTGCAGATGGATTTTGACCTAAAGTAACTTCCATACTTTTGTATGCATCTGTGGATACAGAGCAAGGTACAAAATATGAGAAGTATACTTAAGTACAGGATCCTATTTGGGTATCAGGAAGAGACAGAGGCCCCAGGGGTTGAAGGAGGGCAAACACAAATCATGGCCTGCAACAGAGGCCGTAAAATCCCCTCTCAAAACCCTCCTGGAAAGAAAAACCTCACAAATCACCAGGACCAGTTCCACAGCATTAGAAAGCAGCTGCAAACTCTCCTCTCATCCCCAGAAAACTTTCCAATAAAATGTCTGTGCCAGTCACCCAAGCTCCTGAGGATGCTGGGTTTAAGTACAGGCAGGGTGTACACTGTGGGGGGAAATCTTCAGGAGGATTTGGTTTTAATGCATGCTCAGATGTAGCTTATAGCACATTCAGACCTCGCCTGAGGCCTTTTCCAGATGTAAATGTTGTTGCTCTTTTGATCTACTACGCTCCTAAGAAGTAAATTCCTCCTTCTCAAACTTAACATGACTGGAAAATTTGTACACACCGAAGCTGCTCCGCTGGGTTCCCAAGCAGGGCCGGCCTATGCACCACACGAATAAATAACACAAAGGAAGAAATGGCTTCATTTTGTGCTGTGTGTGGTGGAGAGGAGCATGGAGGCAGGGACGTGAGGGGAAGGGCCCGACCCTTCTGCTCACCATTTGTGCCCCATTTCCCGCCATCAAACCCACAGCCCAACACCATTAGAGGCCTTTCCCATGCAGCTTACTTCAAGTCACTACTTTTCCATCGCTGCTTCAAATCTCCCCTTTTAAATTGCAAGGAAAGCTGCCCAGGTGAGGGCTGAGAGTTTTGTTTAGTTTACTGTTCAGCTGTGGCATCGCTCCAGCAGAAAGGCCCCTCATCCCAGCCTTCCAGAGGGGCTCTTTATTCCAGGCCAGCTCAACACGGCAGGCCCCGCTCCTCCTTCACAGGAGGACAGACACGGCCGAGGTGCTCGCACAGACACCCTCCTGCTACCAAAATGGTGGTGAATCCACCACAGAAACATCGCACCCTTTCTTCCAGAGAGCTTCAGGAGAACTCCTCGCAAACCCAAAGGCCGCCTTTACCTGTGGTTGGGAGCTGTGCCTGCAGGGTAGCAAGGACGGCGATCCTCCTCCACTTCATCTTGCCCGGCCGGCAGTGCTGGGAACGGGAGGCCACGGGAGAGAAGAAGAAGAAGAAGATGAAAAGAGGCTCCTCTACAGGCTGTGCTGCTGTGCGGCCGCCACAGGAAGAGGCTCACCGCCTATGAGGGCTTTTGGAGTCCACCTGCTGGCTTCCTCTGCCTTCACAGCCTCTGAGTGAGGGCTGGGGTTTGCCTTCTTGGTGTTGATGTTTGGGGTTTCCTTTGTTATTCATCCTTTTCCTCTCTGCAAGATGGTTTTCAGTGAGTTGGGTTTTTTTTTTTCCCACTTTGTCTGATGGTTCTTAGACCATCCCCACTCAGCAGCTCCTGGTCTCTGTTTCTGGTATCAAATTTGACTTGACTTCAAAAGGGATTTATGCAACTATTCCCAGTGTGCAGCACAGGGCATAAATAGAAATTTAAAACTGTAAGTTACAGTCACTCTTGAACAATATAGCTGTCTAAACTCATAACAATATAAAACTAATTTTTAACTCCCAATTTGTAAGAAATCTCACATTATCGTACTCTTCGTAAATGCAGGCAAATAAAAATTTTCACTTTTTTATTAATAAAAAAAAGTTAATTTTAGACAACTTTGAATTAGGAAAGCTTGAAACCCTAGCTTAGATGAACCCTAAGGCTAAAAGCTCAGCCCCACTCCCATCAAAATACATCTGGCTCAACAGATCACCAAGATTTACAACCGTAACACTAATAATGCACTTAAGGATCAGAGCTTAGGCTGGGAGGAAATAAAAACATCTTAACATATATTTTTTTTTCCTCCTGTTTCTAATTCTTATAAAATAAAGAGGAATGTGTATCCCCAGGAGGTACAGAAACTGGTGATAAAAATTTACCTGAAGTATGGCAGGGTGTGAGTTCCTGTGCACACAAAAAGTAATGCTTAATAGTCTTTTGAAGGCAAAGTAAATTGAAGTTCTTGGAAGAAATTTGTCACCTTGCTGCCTGGAGTAAAAAAGACCAATACATGGATAAAACTGTCTTTTCCTCTAATTGAATAATTATATATTGTGCCAGTCACATTGTGCCAAAAGTACTAGACACCATTAGTAGTGTAGCACCAGGTGTAACAGTGCAGCATACCCTTCTGTGATACCCAGGCTGTGCTGCTGAGCCTCTGCTCTCTCCCAGCCCAGGGGAGGGTTTTCTTTGTGGCTCTTCTACCCCAAAAACTCCAAGGAAAGGCTGGAGATGGGCTCTGACACCACCAAGCAGAAAGCAGAGCACAGCCCAGGAGAGCTGCCATGCACTGAACCTGAAAGAGGTGTCATTAGTCCCAGAAATGGCTGTGCTCTGGTACATGTTCTATATTCCAATGCAAGCTGGATACAGCCCTTTCTGGCCACTTCTCTGTGTGACAGAAGATTGGCTGAAACAAGGCATTAGTGAGCAGAAAAAGACCCCGTTCTCACTGCTGGCTGCTTCAATCTCACTGATGCCTTATCCAAAAGCTGAAATATCATCCTAGTTATTGATATTTTTGGGTAACGGTGTTTCCAGAGAAGCAGATGGCACTTCTCATCACTATTCCACTGACCCCTGTCTCCTCCTGTTATTGATCATAGCTTCTCCCTCCGGCAGAAAGCCAGCAAATTATCACTTTGAATAAAGAGTTGAGGCCAAAGGTAAGGAAAAGAAATGAAGAGCTGTGTAAGAAAGGGAGATTAATGGCAACAGTAGGCACACTGGGAGAACAGCAGTTGAGCCAGTGTGTTTTGATGTCTAGATAGGGAAAGGTCAGAGAAATTGAGTATATGGACTTCATTTGGAAGTGTGGGTAGAGTGAGAAAAAGGCTTTGCATGACAGTGCCCCTAGAAATTCTCACCTCCCCATCCCTCAGCTTTTGAACTAAGGCAAGCTTATCATTATCCAAATATAATCAAACTATACAGAAGAGCACTCGTGCTTGTATTACAAGTTATTCTCAAAACAAGCATGGCATGGGAGAGATGCAAATCACATGCAGCCAAGCAGGACAGGAAAAGATAAAGGGGAAGAGGTCTCCTCTCTAAGAAAAAGCTTTTCACTGTTCATAAGGCTTACAATTCTATCATGAGGAATGATTTGCTTAGAGTGCCACTTTCTTTTCAGCCTTTCCAGTTTTTGCATCTCTAGGAGCTACACAGCACTGTAAAAACTTCAGCACCTCCTGCCCACATTGTGCATTGGCCAATCTTGCAAATGCATTTCTACCAGCAGTTTAAACCATAGTGATGTTTCAGTTTACTCACTTCAGTCAGACTGTAAGGACTTTGTTAACCCTGGACTAGAAATGAATGCCAAACCTCGTTCAGCTGAACCAGCAGCATTTTTTCTCAATACAGACAAGGCCACACTGGAAATATAAAACCCTTCCTGCTGTGTTAAGAAAAGCTCTCAGCTAAACTTGACTCTTCATCTAAACATATGGGTGGAGAAAAGTACGATTTCAAGAATTACCTGCACTGGGAAGACTGCAATATTTGATCTGTGGTTTGTGAAACAGAATGGGTCAGGGAACTGAAGTGGTCCCCAAGCACAACTCAATGTGTTTAATGCTAGTTAAGGTGCAGCTCATTATCCGTAAGGATAAGATCTTTCGTAAAATAGTCAAGGCATACATTCAACTGGTTCTGTGCATCCATAAGCCATCCTTTCTCTGGACACAAAAAATCCTGGAACAGCTCTAATGCAAGGGGCTGATTCATTCCCAGAAGCATTCCCTTTTCACGCTTACTGGTTATGCTTTGACTGTACTATAAAAAAAAAAGCAGCAGGGTTTGCAGTTTTAACAGGAAATAAATGAAAACTAAAAAAAAAAAAAAACAACAAACCCACACCACAGTCAAGCTGAGGATTAAAAAAATATATAACTACACACTGCCCTCTGGCTCCTGTATTGCTACCACAGAGATATGCCTGTAATCATCACCGCAGACTGCTGGGATTGAGAACAGGTCGGTTATCAGGAGCTCTCCTAAGCCTGTTTGATACAGTTAGCACTCACAGGCAAAATTAGTTCCTACATCACCTGATGGAGGAGCTGGCCGAGTTTAGAGACGTGAGAATCCAGACAGACTGCAGAGCCTTGCCCCTGGTCCGGCAGGGAGCGACGCTTGCAGTGCCGTAATTAACTCAACAAGTATTAAAAATATTTCTGGAGATGTTCACACAAAGATAATGGGTGTTAAAAAAAGCAACAATTTTCACTGGTGAGCAAGCTGTAGCCTCCAGCCAGGCATGCCATTCAGACTAATACACTGAAAAGAAATGGTCTGCTGTTTATTGCGTGTAAGCCCACAATTTTTATTGATAAAAATGTTGCAGACTGACAGTCCTACACTGCTTCACTGCATCTCAATGCACTGTAATGCCTTACAGTGCAGCTTCGATTTGCTATAATTGGGTTCAACTGTGCTAATCCCCTTGGAATGCAGCAATTAATACTTATTTAGTGGTAATGGCTGCATTCCAAGAGGATTAGTCCCTGCCCTGCCCTTTTGCCAGCAAATGGAGTGCTGGAAAGAAGACAGTGCCTAACTATAGGTCTTGCTTTGCAGCTCCCAACATGGAGACAGAGGAGTTGCTCTTGCTACAACTGCTCCCCTTTGTGTATGAAAATATTACTTTTCCAAGGAAAACTCGCCTCACCATCACTGCTCTTTGCAGCTGTGTTGAGTAAATAGAAACCCTGACAGGTGCAACAAGAAAAAAATAAACCCCAAACATAAAAAGGGACACCTGTGCAGGATCACAAAGACAAATACAGCCAGGAGTGCATGTTTCCTATAGGAGATTATAGACAGGCCTTGATGCAATTCCAAAACATATTTCTATTCATTATTTCAGGGATTTTTGTGACTGGCAGTTTCCTGTTCCTGCTATGGTCTTAAAATCTTCAGTGCAACAGGGGTTGTGAAAACCTATAAAGGAGTTGTTAGGAGAAAGTTAAAATACATCCTCTTTGAATGCTCAATTTTGAGACTACTGAATCTGTAATATCCAATTTTTCCGTCCCTAGTGATGCTTTTATGATCTGCTCTGGATTTTGTTGTTGTTAATGCACTCAAGAGACCATGGCTTGTCATATTTTAAGGAGGAGGAACAGTGCTTCTTTTCTTTTAGGCTACTCAAACTACTCTCTCTGGCATCATCAACAACCCTGTTAATTGCAGGTGAATTTCCCCCATTACATTGCATCACACATAGAAAAGTTCTGTGACTTTATCACTACACACATTCTTGAAACACTCTTTTTAATTATAAAACACCTTCAGTATTGCAGCATTACAGCATGGCTGTACAAAAATCAGGTTATGCTTTTTATAAATATAAAAATATTGTGAAGCCACATTTTAAGGTCTGTGACAAGCATCCTCTTTTCCTTTCTTCTCCTCCCCTCTTTATCCCTAACTCACCTGTTCTGCATTTTTCAAATGCTCACCTGAGGAAAAAATTAAAGTAACTGAAATTCATTTAAGCATTTAAAACAAAACAAATATTCAATTCATGCTTGATTAGGCAACTGTTTTTTCTCTAAAGGACAAGAAATTAGTGTGCAATGTTCTTATATAATGCAGCGTTTGTGCAACTATTTCTCTTTCTTATCTCTAAACAATTGCCACCTTTCAATCTAGAAAGTTACTTGTTAACACTGGAAGATGTTTAACAGGTTCCATTGGCATTAAAACATTACTGAAACACAAATTATCTTCAGTGTTTTCACAAAAATACATATGCTTAGAAATGCAATTACACACTACTCCTTGACACTCTCTCCCCCTTTGCACACACACCCACCCTCTGGTTTTGTCAAATTACTCTGTGACTGTAGTAACTACAGATTTATTTTAAAAACCTTAAAATTAATTACTCACAGATGAAAACCAAGTCATCTTGTTCTTCAAATTAAGCATTCCTGTCATCTAAGGGTATCAAGATGAGTTACAAGTATTTTACACGGGTGCTGCAAACTGGTATCTACATTTTCACAGGTAAGGGGAAGGGAAAAGTAAAGATGCAAAGTAAATTCACAATCTGAGTCCTTGGCAGTA